GGACAAGGAACTTTTTAGCAATGCAGTACAGCTGTGTAGGGCAGGTAAAAGTTTTTTCTTGACTGTCTTAGGGTTAGTGTACAAATCTAATAGGACAAAGGATATAAGGTAAGTGTAATCAATGTTGGTAAACTTGGCAAGGCATGTTTGTTTGGATTCTTCTGGAAAACTTCCATCTTGGAGATAAGGATGCTACTTTCCTTCTGGTTTGCAGAGAGCACTCCTTAGAAGACAGCTTAGGATCTGCTTGAGGCAAGGGGAGGGGAAGGTCACAGAACTTCCTGCGTCTGCCATTTTCTCAAACACCTTCAACTGTGAAATATTCAATATGCTCTGATGCCATATTTTGGACTACTGTGTTCTGAATCTTATTGGTGGGTTGTTAAATAGACATTATTAAATATTAAATCACATATATTTATTATTAAATAAACTATTTTTAGGTTGGGGTGCCTGTGTGGCTTAATTAAGCGTCTACTTTCGGCTCAGGTCATGATCCCAGGACCCTGGGATCCAGCCGCAGGTAAGATTCCCTGCTCAGTGGGGAATCTGCTTCTCCCTCTCCCTGCTGCTCCCTCTGCTTGTACTCTCTCTGTTAAATAAATAAATAAAATCTAAAAAAAAAAAGGTAATAGGTATTCAAAACTTATCCCTTCTTAATTGTATTACTACATTTACCATTAACTGTTTGCCTTTTTTTTTTTTTTTGAGATTTATTTCTTTATTTTAGAGAGAGAGAGAGAGAGAGAGAGAGAGAACAAGAACAAGAAGGAAGAGGGGCAAAGGGAAAGAATCTCCAAGCTGACTCCCAGATGACTGTGAAGCCCTATGTGGGGCTCGGATCTCATGACCCATGAGATCGTTGCTTAACCAACTGCACCACCCAGGCACCCCTGTGTTCTTTTAAAGAAAGACTTTTTAAAAAATTGGGTATAGTGGGCGCCCGGGTGGCTCAGTGGGTTAATGCCGCTGCCTTCGGCTCAGGTCATGATCTCAGGGTCCTGGGATCGAGTCCCGCATCGGGCTCTCTGCTCAACAGGGAGCCTGCTTCCTCCTCTCTATGCCTGCCTCTCTGCCTACTTGTGATCTGTCTCTATCAAAGAAATAAATAAAATTAAAAAAAATTAAAAAAAATTGGGTATAGTTGATATACAGTGTTACATTAGTTTCTTGTCTATAATTGTCTACTATTGTGATTCAACTTCTCCATGTGTTATGCTCTGCTCCTCGCAAGTGTAGCTATCCTCTGCCACCATACATGGCTGTTCCAGTATTGTTGACGGTATTCTCTGTGCTGTACCTTTTATTACTGCATATGGGACAGGTAGGGGCTGTAGGTAGGGAGAGATAGATAAGGGGCTATGTGATCAGGCTCACAGAAATCCCCAAAATGTGGGGGCGGGGGGAGAACCAGAGATAAGGGGACACATCTGACCATCCTGCCCTAGGCGGGTGGGGTGGGTGTCTTTTTATGATAATCACCTGTGAGCAATGAAGAATAACCAGACCCTAAAACGGAAATAAGCCATTGAAAATGTTATCACTAGTCCTAGCTCAGTGATATTATCAATAGAAATGTTACAAGGATTTAAGTCCCCTGGTTAGTTTTTTATAGAAGACCATAAAAGAGAAGACCATAGAAGACCCTAAAGGCGCTCAGTGGCAACTCTCTCACTCTTGAGAGCTTGTTCTGTGTCTTCACTTAAATTTCTATCGCTCTACTCTCTGTTCTCTGTGAGATTCATTCTTTGACTCTGTGAGACAAGAACCTAGCTCTCCCGGTTCATTACCGTGACTTATTCACTGGAAGCCTATTACCTCCCATTCCCTCTCACCCATTTTGCTCATCCAACCACCCGTGTTTGCTAGGGCAACCATCAATTGTTTTTCTGTATTTATAGGTCTGCTTCTGCTTTTTGTTTACTTGTTGTGTTTTTTTTTTTTCTTCAGATTCCACATATGAGTAAAATCATATGGTATCTGTCTTTTTTGACCTATTTAACTTAGCATAATACTCTCTACTTCCATCCATGTTGTTTCAAATGCCCCAATCTCATCTTTTTTATGATTGTGGAATATTCCATTATATATATATGTTGCAGGATTTCTTTTCCTTTAGTGCCTGTGTTTCTTGGTCTTGCCACTTTGAAGAATGAAGAGGTAGACCAAAGAGTGGTGGGCAGCAAAGCAAAGTTTATTGAGCGATAGTACAAAGCTCCCAAAGAGGGAGGGGACCCAAGAGGGTTGCTGGTTTGAATCTAGGGGTTTTATGGGCTCTTGGGTTTTGACTGTTTTAATCTGATTAACCCTCCACGTGCCTGTCATCCAATCAGGTTTTTGTCCACAGGCTCATCTGTTAGATAGTTGTTCCCATGGGAAAGGGTGAAGGGCTTCTTTTAGGGTGGTATTTTGTAGCGGCTGGGACCAATAGGGTGGTCACCCTCACTGCCTTAAACCATGCCAGCTAGCTGCAGGCTGCCACATCAAGCTCTTTGCTTAAATTCCCTATTGGCTGGGTTGACTGGGTGGCTCATTTGGTTAAGAGTGTCTGCTTTGGCTCAGGTCATGATCCCGGAGTCCTGGGATCTAGCCCCACATCAGGCTCTCCTTTTCGCCCACCTCAAATAAATAAGTAAAATCTTTTTTTTTTTTTTCAAAGATTTTATTTATTTATTTGACACAGAGAGAGAGATCACAGGTAGGCAGAGAAGCAGGCAGTGGGGGCGGGGGGGAAGCAGGCTCCCCGCTGAGCAGAGAGCCCACCGCAGGGCTCCATCTCAGGCCCCTGAGATCATGACCTGAGCCGAAGGCAGAGGCTTAACCCACTGAGCCACCCAGGCGCCCCAAATAAGTAAAATCTTAAAAAAAAAAAAAAATCCTACTGGCTTTTGAGCTGGCTCTTTGGGCCTGGGTTAGGATACCCAAGGCCATTCTTTTTCTTTCTGTTACAGACAAGTTGTAAGTTCTCCTACTTAAAGCTGAGGCATTGAGTAGAGCCTAGAATAACAGGCTGGAGCTTTTTTCCTTCTAAGGCTAGTTTCCTCTTAGGACAGGGGTGGGAGTGCCCTTCTCCCTGCTTACCTTTCTTCCAACTATCCTTTGTTATATACATATGTGTATACATACATATATATGTGTGGATACACACAGTATCTTCCTTATCCATTTGTCTATTGATGAACACTTAGGTTGCTTCCATATATTGGTTATCATAAATAATGCTACAATAAACATAGAGATGCATATATCTTTTAGAGTTAGTGTTTTCAATTTCTTTGGGTAAATGCTTTATAGTGGAATTATTGAATCATATGGTAGGTAGTTATATTTTGAACTTTTTGAGGACCCTCCATACCGTTTTTCACAGTGGCAGCTCCAAGTCACATTCCTACTAACCGTGTATGTACCGTACTGTTTTGATTACGATAGCTTTGTAGTGTGTCTTGAAATCTAGAATTTGTGATACTTCAGCTTTGTTCCCTCTCAAGATTGCACTGGCTCCATTACCTATGTTCTTGCCGTCATGTCTGCTGCATGCGGACGGTAGAAATACCACACACGATTGCATTTTTGCACGTGTCTTTCCCACCTCCATGCTTACTGACATCACTTTGGTATTTTGAAATTGGCGGTGGTGGGAGTGTTTACAGTAACTGCCATCGTTAGGCATCCGGGCCTTGTTTTGGTGGTTTTTCAGAAGGAGAGCTGTCTGTTAACCATTTGTGAGTCCACTGGAGGGCTCAGTGGACCAGTGGAGAGACTGGCCTGAAACTGAACACGGACAGTTCACTCACAGGAACAGAAGAGAGGGCAGGGCATTTGGACAGGTGAGTAGACAGATGTGGTCAAGAGCGTTTTCCTATTTACTAAGTAAAAAAGGAAGCAAGGTAGTCATCTGAGGATATGGCTGGGAAGGAAGTGTGGGGTGTTTGAGGTGAGAAGACTGTGGGACAGTTAGTGGATGAGAGAAATGTAGTTTGTTTGTTTTTTTGTCCAGCACCATTAAAAGGCCCCTTGAGATTAGTGGTTATGAATTTGAAAGCAGGGCTGTTATGGTGGGTGTGTATTTGTCTCCAGCCTCTTGCTGTGGCAGGAGTGAAGCCCTGAGTAATGGGAAGCTGGATTTACCCAAGTATGTGGTTTTGCAGTGCTGCTATGTGTGTCGGTAGCAGGCAAGATAAATGTGAAGGTCACCACCTCAGAGAACTACCTTATTCATTCTAGCTAAAATCACGCCCCATCCCCATAACCATAATCCATTATTCTGTTTGTTTTCCTGTTTTGTTTATTGGATGTCAGATCGCCTGGCTCACCCATCCTCTTTGCCAGCGGGGACCATACTTTATTCACTACGGAATGTGCAGTTCCTACCACAGCGCCTGGCACAGAGTAGATGCTCGGTAAGTGATAGGTCGAGTAATTTACTGAATAAATGAATTCACTTGCTCGATCTTGGAAAATCCGTGCAGTCCAGTGAAAAGTACTCAGATTCTTCCCATGTCCCTTTGTTCCTTGCTCCATGGTGTTTCAACTTTGAGGAGCATAGGAATTCCCTTACAGGGTCGGATATGCTAAGCCGCGAGTTCTTTATTTCCTGAACACTCCCAGGGTATATGAACCCAACTTAAAGCTTTTGAGGCAGCTGCCTGGGTCGTGTGTGTCCTGCAGTTGCTGACCTTTGTCACAGGGGACTCAGCAACACGGAGGAGGGTTATATTACAACCCAGACTTGGAAGCCGGGTAGTTTCCGTATTTATGATCACTTTTCTTAGGGCTGCTGCGTCTGAAGAGGCTCAGGCAGGTGACAACAGAAAAGCAGGGTTCCAGAGGTGCAGAGCCCGGGGCGGTGGCTCCCGGGCCGCGGGCGGAGCGGGCCGCTCCTGACGCCTGCCCGGCCCTGACCCGCGAGGCCGCGCCCCCGCCTCCCGAGGCCCGCCGCCCACACCCCGCGGTGGCGGAAGGGGGCGGGGCCCGACTGCCCGTCTGTTCCTGCCGGAGGACAATAAAGTTTCGAAAGTTTGAAAAGGGAGGAAAAAACCCTCCCCCCGCCCCTTTGGCGGGGCGGGTGTGGGCGCCCGCGGCGGCGGCAGAGCCCGGCGCCGGGCGTGCGGGGATGGGGGTCACGGTGGACGTGCGCCAGGTGTACAAGTACCCCTTCGAGCAGGTGGTCGCCAGCTTCCTCCGCAAGGTACCCGCCCGCTCCGGTCTGGGCCGCGCCCGCGTTCCCCCCAGCCGCCCCGACCCCCGGCCCAGCAGTCTGTGTCCCGGGGCGCCCGCCGTCTGCCCCTGCTCCTTCCCCTGCCCCCGCGGGAGTTCGAGTCCGCGCTCTCGCGCCCCAGCTGCGGGTTTTGCCTCGGGACGTGCGGGGCTTGGGTGGAAGTGCATTTCCTCGAAGGCTCCCCACCGCTCCCTGGAGTGCGGGGAAGGCTCCGTGCGCGGCAGCACGTTCACATCCTGCCCCACAGTCCTAGGGAATGCACGTTCTGGAGCCTGGTTGAGGTTGCACGTGACTTGTTGATCTTTCTAGTACATCATGGACCCCCCGACCCCCCCCCCCCCCCAGTACAAGCCAGTGGGAGCGGTGGAAGCGATCACCCTGGTTTACTCAGCACTGTTGCTCTACTACCTTAATATCTTTTGAAACTGGTAGCTTACCCTCCCTGGGCCTTAGTGTTTTTGATCTGTGAAATGGGGGAAATAAAAGTACTAATGGAAAGGACTGGTTGTGAGGAATCAAGTGAGATAATTCATGTAAGTGCTCAGGCTGGTGTTTAGGCCTCTAAAATGTTAGAGTTGTTCATACTGCGCCCTAGGCTCACTGCTCAGTGGTCCTATTTATCCCAGGGTCTCCTCCTAGGACTATGCTCCTGGCAGTAGAATAGGGAATTTCTTGAGAAATCCAGAGCACCCAGGCCTGGGAGCTGAGACTCCTGAACTGTAGTCTGTCTCTGACACTAGTTACTTCATTGGTCAAGGGTCATCTTCTCTTTTAGGCCTAGCTTTCTTCATCTAAGATAAGAGTGTTGATTAGAAGGCATTTTAGGTTCCCCTTCAGCGTTCACTTTTTAAAGCAAGATTTGCAAGAATTCTAATTTGCCTTGGGCAGCAGCTACCAGGCAGTGTGCCCCATATATAATGCAGAAGCAAAACAGAGAGGCTGGGAGAAGTTAATTTTTTAAGTGGTAAGAGGGGACCTCTATGGGTGATGTGGTTGGGGACCCAGGTCCCAAGGATTGATTAGGACACTGGTTAACATGGTGTTGCCATAGAGCCCTGCCCCCCCATGTCAGATCGTTCGTATTTTTCACCTAGTAAGGTGCTCAATAAAAACTAGTAAATGATGAATGAATAAATGACTGAGAGCATGAATTGTGGATCTGGTGGAGACTTTGCCTTAGGCCAGACTTCTGGGCCCAAAGGAGAAACAGTGCACACTCCATTTTTTTATTAGGACTGGCAGTCTGGAGTGTGGATTCCTTAATGCCTTGGCTCCCTTGGAATGCCTTTCTGGATTATCCTTATCAAGAGCTGATCTCCATCTCGACAGAACTGGGGGAGCACTTGATCTAGGCATCACTGACGATCTTCTCCAGTGTTTGATAGTTACTTCTGCACATACCTTTTCTCCTTATGAGACTAAGCTTCTTGGGGGAGGACTCATTCCCGCAGAAGCACAGAGCACAATGCCAAGCTCTCTTTTAGAGAGGACTTTGAGTGTGGTCATGCTTCTGGGCTAAATGCTTTTCATTTATTCAGCAGGTGTTTAGAGATACTTTTCTCCTGTGTGCCAGGCTCAGTGCTGGGGCCCACTCAATAGGCGCTCTTCTCATGGAGCTGATGGTTTCCAGTTGGGGAGACTGACATTAATAAATGAACAGCTAATGAACACATACTTACAATTGGTGATGTGTATTTATGCAGAGAAAGTTCACGTTGCTGGGACCAAATATGGCAGAGAAGTCCTGCTAAATTCCCCAGGGTGGTCATTGGGAAAGGCTTTCCCAAAAAAGTGGCCTTTATCAAGTGATGGCTGAAGTGTGTATAGGAGTTTCTTAAGGAAGAAGGGAGGGGGAGGAAGTGCTTTCATACATCATCCCGTTTACTTCATCCAGCAGCTGTGGGAAGGATTTAAGGCCCATTTCCATTTCACTACCTAGAGAAACTGAGGTTCAAAGAAGTTTAAATAACTTTTCCAAGTTCCCACAGCCAGCTGTTGGGAAGCCAGGATTTCACATCTGAATCCAGAGTCTCAACCTCCATCTCCAGGCTGTGTGGCCTACCACATAATAGACACTCAGATGATCACTGAGGGGGAAAAATGTTCCGGAATCATCTTTGCTGTGCTCTTTATCCAATCCCAGTGTTCTTTTGTCTAGTCTTTTCTCAGGGTTTATTCATCTGGGACCCTCTGTGCCTGATATAAGGGTATAGTATTGATGTGTGCTAAGGTGAGAAAATACAGTGTTTCAGTTTTCTGTTGCTATGTAACAAATCACCCCTGTTACTTAGTGAATTAAACCAGTGGTAAACTTTTGGGTCTCATGATTTTGTGGGTTGACTGGGATCAGCTGGCTGGTTTTTGTGTGCCATATGTTTACAGGTCAGGTCATTAACAGCACAGAGCTGCATTCAGTTACAGCGTTTTAGTATTCTTACAGAACACTTGGCCAAGTGATAGGCACATAGTAAATAGGATATTTTGGAAGGCAGGGCTAGGGAAAATATTTTCAGAAAAGGCCTAGCAATGGGACAATGCAAACACTATGGGTGACACCATACTTCCATTCTTTTTATTCACAAAACAATGCCTCAGAGGGGCTGTGTGAGTCAATAAGTTATGAGATTTCAGTAAATCTACTTACTGTGAGCATTTCACCTTACATTACATAAAGCCATGAACTGGAAGTCAGTAGATCTGGATTCTAATCTTTGTGCTTTCCCCATTAAAAGTGGTTTTTGGGTGGCCTTGGGACACAGTTTTAAACAGTCTGTACTGTGCCCTTATGCAAATTAGAAAGAGGCCTCATCTGGGTGGTGGGCTCCACAAGCTCACAGACAGTGGGGCTAGTGGACAGGAAATGGGGCTATTTATTGAAAATTAGCAAGAGGAACTATTACCCAGTCAGGCTCTTGGGCTGTCTTAGCTCTAGAATTGGAGGCTGAGTGGGTGTTCCACGCAAGGCTTTATCAGGGCTTAATGCTCCAGTACAAGGGAGACAGAAAAAAGATTCTGCAGTCTGGCTCCCCAAGGAGAGGTCTGGGAGGGTTTTAAGGAGGATTTGGCTGAAAAAGGGTCATCAGTGGGGGTCCGTCTAGGCTTAGATTGGTTTGGTTTTCACAGTCAAGCATCCCTCTTAGGTGGAGGGCTTGCACAGTGTCTGAGGTGGATCAGACCAGTTGAGAAGTGTGTGGGGGGGTGGTGTTTGGAGCCTGTTCCCCTTGGCATCCAGCTGAGTTTCTGATGGCAAGCAGTACCTGCTGGCAGGGCTAGAAAACTGGGTTATTGTAGCTTGTTAGCCTAAGTGTGGTTCCTGCTCTGTCTCAGTGCTTCTTCCACTAGGTGGCTGTAGACCTGTGCCTGCTGACCTGCGACAACCCTACTGCCTTAATTTCGTGTCAGTGAAACAATAATGCCACGTACCTCACCTGTCTCCCAGAATTGTTGTGAGGATCAAATGTGTGCGAGTTTGAGAAGCATGAGCTTTTTATAAGTGTAAGGTAGTAGGAATGATCTTTGTGGGTTAATATACTTTTATTTTTCTTTTAGTCTTTATGTATTTTTTTTCAAAGGAAGGCACTTGGCAGAAGGAACAATCATACGAGGATCTCTGGAAGCATTTAATCTGATTTTGCACAATGGTATGTTTGAAGCTGTTTCAGCACTGAGGATGTTCTATTTTAAATAGAGTCTACTGATCTACGTCTTTTGGTATGTTAGGACTTGCCTTCCAAGTTATTATATACTACTATTTTTAAAACCTGAGGAATGTTTGCTCTTCTTACACCTGCCTGTTGGATACCACAGGCAAAATATTAGCTACATGCTTTCAAAGCTAAGTGGCACCTTGAAAACAAACACCACAGAACTCTTTGTTCATGGAATGTAGTGTTTCTCAGTGAACCCTTATGGAGGAATGCTGTGAAACCCAAAATGGTTTATTCATCAGATGCTAAACTGTAGTTTCTATGCACTATATTGTTCGTGCACCTGACAGTGCATTAGGCTTCTTTGTATGACTCTTAAGCTTTCCAGCTCTTACTGCTTATAGCTGTTTCCTTCCTTTTACTTAAAACCACCTACAAAGAGCAGGCAGGGTTGCGTCCGTTCAGGCCAGAAGCTCACTCATCTCTACCAGCTTCCATGGGTCTGTTTGCTGTGTTTGCATTCATGAGCTGGATTCAAACACTTCTTCAGTGTTGTCTACCTAAAATTTGAAGTAATTGAAAAGGACTCAGAGGGCCCTTGTGTTGACTGGATGTTCTTGTTTATACTCAGTTAAGGCCAGAGAAGTTAGAGTTTTTCTTACTATAGAGTTGTTTGTGTTGATTTTCTTTCTGTGCTGTAGGCAAAGCAGGCATTGTGAATAGGGTGTAAGCTTTATGGGCAGAGATCTTTCATTTGTTCCTGATGCATCCCAAGCACCCAAAGAGATCCTAGAACATAGTAGGTGCTCAACAAATCTTGTGGAACAAGTGAATAAAATGCACTACTCTGGAGTTTAGCCCTTTGTAATTTCAGATGGAAGTTAGTGTGGGGTTCAGTCTTACGGCCCTATAATAAAATGGACAGATTAAAATAATTTCTTTTTGCTTCAACACAGTGGCCTCAGGTTTTTATTTATTCTAGCCAGGAGCCTGCTGTGCTGAACAAAATGGTTGGAGTGTTTACCCTTAAACTCATAAAGGGGATTTATGAATGGCTATTTCCATTTAGAGTAGAAAGTTGATTGGGTGATTAATAATGTTTCCATTTCTGATCCTATCTTTTCTCCCTTGCAAATCTGCCACTTGTGGGGAACATCTCTTCCTGGAAAAAAATCCTGAAATATTTGGGGTAAACTGATATTTCCAAAATAAATGATTTGACAAATTACAGGGCTAGTTTAACATAACAGTCGTTTATCTTTTTACTTACACTGTAATAGTCTTTCTTTTATCTTCTTATCCTCAATCCTGCTAGAAGAAGAT